CAGCGTCTGGCTGCTACCTCAAGAAGCCACAGTTTCAGCACCGATGACACATGAGTAACAAAAATGGGACGTAAAACAGCGTGAAACAGAGGGTTTCAAGACAGTGTCGTCCTCAAGAACCCAGGATGGACCTATGGTCGAGTGGGAGAGTACATCAGGACAATGCTGCACTAACGGACGTGGGAATAACTTCGAACAGATGATAGATTCAACCTGTGCATGCATTGGGCCCGTCTTAGCACAATCAGCGACCAGTCTCATCTTCGGCATAGGCAGGGTGGGGGGTGTCAACTCGCGCACTCGACTGAAAAGAAAAGCTTGATGATCTTACTCCGCAATGAGAGAAAGTGAAGGCGCGAAGGACAGTCTCATGTGACACTGCAGGAAAAAGTATCACCTGCGATGCAGGCTTCCGATGCAAGTCCAGCATATGAGGAATACTTGAGCAACTCAAACTGGGATTCTTGATTGAGCTACGAAGTCACTGTGAACCCTTCTTCAAAATCTGTCTATATTTAAGAGGAGAAACCTGCTGGGTATATTCCTAAACACAGAATATCGAAGCTCTCTATCAAGATACCCCGCAGATCAACCTGAGGACCACCTATCCAGTCACTCTGGTCGAGAAGACAGATTGTCCAACGATTTTCATCAGGTTTGTTCATCATCTCGACTCATCTGACTCCATATACATGATCATACTTAAAACTCAAAGGGCGTGCCAATAACGAATGCTGAGCGCCCTTGATATGCTTGGCTTCTGGAAGGCGTCGTCTTGGCTTCGATCCAGACCCGATCCGGACCAGGATGATGAACAACGCGTTCTACTCCTGCCCAAGGACCGTCACGATATCCCGCTGACTTCCCTTCGTCCTCGACCAAGCGACAGGCTTCCATCCACAAAAGCCCGACAGCAGCGCTATGTACACTTTGGGATTGGTGGCGCTGGAAACACACGCAAGTATGGCTGCCCTTTCTCAACTCGTCCTTTGATTAACTCAAATCGGACCATATCGTTTTAAGTCCGTCGTCTCCGGATTACACATCATTGCTCTTGATGACTATTTACATGATTCTCTACTAACCGTGCGAGATACAGGGTCTCAATATGTGATGAACAGCCATTCAGAGTAATTCCACAGCCGGTGCATCGGTTGGCACAAAGCAAGGGAGGCACTCGGGGATCGGAATGAGACGCGCAAGAGGTTCAATATGTCGCAGGCCAGAACAAGCAGAAGTAACCGGGGAGGAAGGACTCCAAAAATCAGGTAAGACGCACGTGGGTGATTATAATTACTGGTACGGAATACAAACCGCAACAATTCCTTGCCTTTCATCCCAAGTTTGGCCATGTTAGGTATGCGCCAAAATCAACACAAGCGATCCGCATCCCCTGAACTGCTGCAATGTCTCACTTTTAAATTGTCAGCATTGCTGACCCGGTCTCGATTGTTTCTGGGACAATGTCAACATTGTGATCGGGTCAGATCTTGTTCTCTGTACCACAAACATTACTATATGAGCAACGTCGATGTGGTCCAAGACGCCTGAAGATTCTCAGTAACTCACCAGTACTAGTACCTCTGGCCCTGTCTCTCTTCTCGACAAGTCACTGTTCTAGATCCTCCTGAACCCCGAGGAGAATTCCAGTCAAGTGTGGTCATCGCGACGCGGAATCCAGTAGACGTGCCGGGACCCGCACCCAAATATGCTCGACCAACTTGCCGTATGGCTCGATCGACATAAACAAGGCAAGATTAGATGCTGCCATGCCATCATTTTGCTTCATCTGTGATCTCTCGAGTTGCGCTTTTGTGCTGCCACTGCCCGTTCTCGGCCTTGCGAAGTTGGGTATCGTCCTTCCTGTCTTTTCCTTTTCTCCTTCTACAGTCGTACAGCTGCGAGATTTCATTTCTATGGGAGTCCGAACGGTCCCAGCTGTTCCTTTTTCTTCGCTCGGTCTGTTTTCTGAAGACCAGGTGCTTTGAACATGGCGTCTTTTCCCGCGGTTGTCTGTATATTAGCATTATCCCTTCTTCCAACACGCGTCTGGGCAACAGCGTTGGACAAGAAATCCGGAGACTTTTACTTTCCACCTTTAACATATGTTCCTCAGCTTTTGTAGGTTTCCCTAGGTTCAATCTTTCCTCATCCGGGCTGACTTGAGCAGTGGAATCCCTTTCTCAGTCCAGGACGACACTCCACAACCATGGCGCAACCATGGCACAACTGTTACCCACCAATCAAATCAACAAAGCTCATCATATTGTACAGCCGCAGGGACCAGCTCATCGGGATTCTGGTACGAAAAGATAGCCCACAACGGCCAATCCTCGTTTCTGAGCATGGATGTGAAGAAAAACTACCCGGTCTTTCGAAACGTGGTCACAGATTTCGACGCTGATAATACTGGCAAAAATGACTCGGCTGGTGCTATTCAGAGTGCTATTGAAGGTATGCAACCTCCTCCAAAATTTGAGCAGAGCGCCAAATGCTGAAATTCAGACAGCGGGAGCATCCAATGGTCCCAAGCGCAATTCTCGGAGCATGGGCACAACTGGTCAACCAGCCATCGTGTATCTTCCCAGCGGCACCTACCTGATGAAGAGCAGTTTGCAGTTTTTCGTGGGTACTGTCCTGGTCGGGGACCCGACGAATCCACCAGTCTTGAAAGCAGCAGCGGGTTTCCCCAATGACCACATCATTTACGCCAAAGACCCAAATGTCGAGGGCACAAACAACTTCTATATCGGTCTCAAGAATGTGATCTTGGATTCAACCAGTGTTGATACAGCACAAACCATCACGCTGCTTGACTGGACCGTGAGTCAGGCGACGCAGTTGACTAATGTGGTGTTCAACATGCCCACTGGTTCCACTGCACACGTCGGGCTGACCACTCAGTACGATTACAACAGTAACATTATCCTAGTGAGTTCTGTCTGGCATAGAGTTTGAACACTTGTTAATGTGCCACCAATTGCAGAATGACCTGCGCTTCAACGGCGGCGCTATCGGGATGAAACTCAGCGGACAGCAATGGGTTTTTAAGAACCTCACCTTTAGTGGGACGACCACCGGCGTGGTAGCTGGAGGGACGAACATTGTGTTCCTCGGATGCCGATTTGAGAACGGGAATGTTGGGATAGATGCCAATGGTACCTCCGGATCACTGACCATCATCGACTCGAAGGGATCCGGGTTGAACTCATTTGTTGTATCTGGTGACTCCGCGGGCGCTGGAAATGCGATCATTCTGGAAAATGTGGAGAACACTGGCACCACTGTCAGGCTGGGGAACAATCCAGTACTTAGCGGAAACATGCTGGACACTTGGGTGCATGGCAACTTGGTAAGAGCTCAGTCAACTCAAGGATAGGGTGTTTGAACTAAAGAATCCCAAGTACTCCGCTGGTAATGCCAATAAAAACCATGTGGAAGGCCAAAGTGTGGTGACTAAACGAGTAGCCGACCTTCTGGTGGGTGGGAAAGACTATTTCATACTGCCTCCGCCGACATACAGCGAATTTCCTGCCGAACAAGTCCTGAATATCAAAACTGTTTCCGATAAACCGGTGTATGGCGATGGCGTAACCGACGATGCGCAGAATATCAACGACATTCTGGCTCAGAATCGTGACTGCAAAGTTATTTACTTTCCGGCCGGCACCTACATTGTCACTGATACCATCTTCGTTCCTGCTAACATCCGCATTGTTGGGGACGCCTTTGCTTCAGCTATCAGCGCTTCCGGCAGCAAGTTCACTGATATCAATGCAGTCCGCCCTATGATCCGTTTCGGGTATCCCGGGGATGTCGGAGTACTCCATGTCAGTGATATGATGTTTACTGTAGCTGATGTGTTGCCCGGATGTCAAGTGGTACGTATGCGCCTGGCCCTAGTTCTGAACATTCATTTGACCTATATGTCTAGGTGGAAGTAAATATTGCGGGCAACAGCCGAGGGGACGTCGGGTTCTGGAACACCCATTTCCGCATTGGGGGTGCTGCAGGCAGCTTGGTCGAGACAAAATGCCAAGGAGGGCCGGCAGATTGCAAAGCAGCATGGGGACTGCTGCGCCTCACGAGCACATCGTCGGCCTACATCGAAAACATGTGGGGATGGACAGCAGACCATGACCTCGACGGGAGCAGGAATCAGACCATCGCAACCGGCCGCGGCATGCTGATAGAAGCCACCAAAGCCACCTGGCTCGTGGGCACGGGATTTGAGCACAATACTCTGTACCAGTACAACTTCCAACGCGCACGCAATGTCTTCTCAGCGCTCCAGCAAAGCGAATCGCCGTACTGGCAAGGACCAGGTAACCTCCTTGCTCCGGCGCCATGGGACCAGAGTCTCATCGCAAGCGACCCCGATTACTCCGAATGCGCTGCCGACGATGCAACCTGCCGAATGGCACTGTTTGAGCTGATTCGCAGCTCGTCCAATCTCTTCCTGTATGGCGGCTGCAACTGGGTGTTCTTTAATAACAAACAAGGCTGCCAGGGGGACTGTCAGAAGAACGCAATCCGCATCTCGGATTCTTCTTCGCTGTATCTATACGGGACCAACACAAAAAGCACCACGAATATGGTGCTCAATGGCAATACACCCATAGCAAAGGAAAGCGACAATGCCGGTGGATGGGGAGGAGTCGTTGCGGCGTATCTGTACAATTCATGAAGGCAGAGGGTATATACATTGGGTGATGTGGTGTATACATACCGTAGATTGAGAGCCAATAGTGATAGATAATGTCTAATGAGCAGTATAGACTTAGATATGTCATTCTTCATCTCGTACATGCGCCAGTACGAGTCATCGGGCTCCCTGCAGAACTGATGGTGATGTCATTTAATCGGTGATCCGGCACCAACTTCGCTTCGATCGCGATCGCGATCGATGCTCCAGCAGCTCCGCTATGTAGATCGTAGAATTTATATGGAACTCAACCCCAGGGACTGTATCCAAATGCCAATCTTGAATCGTAGACAAAATGAAATCCAAAACCCCGGTAGTCCTCTACTGGCACCGCACCGACCTCCGCCTCCACGACTCACCGGCCCTCCACGCCGCCCTAACCCTAAAACCCTCCGTCTTCATCCCCGTCTGGACCTGGGACCCGCACTACGTCTACCGGACACGCGTGGGCCCTAACCGCTGGAAATTCCTGCTGGAGTGCCAGTCCGATCTGTCGCGGTCATACACGGCACTCAACCCCAAGCAGCGGCTGTGGGTTGTGCGCGAGGCGCCGCAGACGGTCTTCCCGAGGCTGTGGGCGCGATGGCGCGTCACGCATCTGGTGTTCGAGAAGGACACGGATGCGTATGCGCGGGATCGAGACGAGGCTGTGATGCGGATGGCGACGGAGGCCGGGGTGGAGGTGGTTGTTTGTGGTGGGCGGACGCTGTTCGATCCTGATGAGCTGGTGAGGAAGAATAATGGGCAGCCGACGATGAGTATTTCGCAGGTGCAGAAGGCGGCCGAGGAAATTGGGGATGGGGTGCCGGAGAGACCGCTTGGGAGACCGACGAGTATCCCTGATCCGTGGGAGGAGGGCGTCATGGATTTGGGTGGGCTGGAGGAGGAGCGACAGGAGCGGCCTGATGCAGAGCCGGATCTTAACAAGGTGCATAGGACCGGTGGGGATGAGCAGTATAGTGCACTTATGGGGCCGAGGAGGGACTTTGGGGTTCCGACGATGGAGGAGATTGGGATCGATGCGTCGCAGGCGAAGTCGCCGCATCCTGGCGGGGAGACGGCGGCGCTGGAGCTGCTGAAGAGGTATATTCAGGACGAGGAGTACGTGGGAACGTTCGAGAAGCCCAAGACGTCGCCGGCGGCGTTTGAACCGCAGGCGACGACGCTGCTGTCGCCGCATCTGCATTTCGGGTCGTTGTCCGTGCGGAAGTTCTGGTGGGATGTGCAGTCGGTGATGGAGAAGCGGAAGAAGCAGAAGAAGGCGAATGCGCCTATCCCGACGAATCTGCCCGGTCAGCTGCTCTTTCGCGACATGTACTTTGCCGCGCAGGCGGCCATCGGTCACCCGTTCGGGCAGACAATGGGCAACAAGCATGTACGGTTTATCGATTGGCATCTGCAGTCGAACCATACCAAGACCGAAGATGGGAAGTACAAGTCGGACGGGACGTATACCGTCGACTCCCCGGACGCAGAGAACTGGTTTCGACGATGGAAGGAAGGACGAACAGGCTTCCCCTGGATCGACGCTTTGATGCGCCAGCTCAAGCAGGAGGGCTGGATCCATCATCTGGGGAGACACAGCGTCGCATGTTTTCTGCCTCGAGGAGGCTGCTATGTGAGCTGGGAACGGGGTGCCGAAGTATTCGAAGAGTGGCTCGTTGATCGTGAGTGTCTGTCACTACCTACTTCCTGTGCAAATACTCACAAAGCACAGATGAAACGGCGTGCAATGTAGGCAACTGGCAGTGGCTCTCCTGCACCGCGTTTTATGCCCAGTTCTACCACTGCTACTCCCCTATCGCGTTCGGCAAGAAATGGGATCCCGAGGGCCACTTTGTCAGACGGTATTGTCCAGAGCTTTCAAACTTCGACAAGAAGTACATCTATGAGCCTTGGAAAGCGCCATTAGCAGATCAGAAGAAATGGGGATGCCGAGTGACGGGAGACGGCAGTGGAACCGATGACTCGAAAGAGGGAATGCAGGTGTATCCAAAACCGATGTTTGACTTCGATGAGAGAAGACGAAAATGTCTGGACAATATGAAGCAGGCGTATAGTATTGGATTGCACGGGGATGATCCAGAGGTGAAAGATGGGTCATGGAAAGAGGCTTTTGGAGTCGCCGATGGTAAGTCTGGCGATCACAAGTCTGAAGATATCAAGGATGTCATGGAGGACGGAAGGCAGAAAAAGAGACAGAAACTGAGCACAAGGTGATGGTGAATTAGTGCTCTCGTCTCTTCAATATCATCTAGCTCAGGTGTTCCCTCCGCCCCTGGGCTTTGAATCGCCAACATCTCGCCCTTTCCAGTTGGAACAGACAATCTTCAGAATCGATCATCTATTTTGATGCTTTCTACATGTCGGTTGATATGTTTGGAATCATAGTTGAAGTATTAGGGAAACCCTCTGCATTAACTGACGCGTGCGTGAGTCACCGACGTGGAAGCCATCCAGCTTTACACTTTCAGCTTGATGTCGGTATGGCTATACGACTCCTGATTGTGATATGACGATGGAATCCGGTTTTGTGGAAGACTGAATCTTATCAACCCTAGCACATGGACTCGTTTAATTGCATATTTGGTCATTACCTTCTCATGGACAGAACCTGGATAGAGGCTACGGTTCAGGGCTTTATCCGTCAGCTTCAGGACCCATACATTTACCCGCCCTTTTCTCACAGCCAGTCAAATCGCGTTTATTCGAGTTTTCTCTATTCTCATTTCTGAATACGGATACATTTCTGAAATCGACAAATTAGACTATAAGGCATTTCATGGTAGAGTGGACTTGACTGGATCGGGCCGCAATCCACTTCGGGCGGAGACTCGACACCTTTAGTACTCGGCTTCGGCCAACTGGACAACAACAACAACATCATCATTATCAACCAGAAACAACACAGCAAGGCAATTGAAACCTAATTTATCAAGCTGCTACAATGCATCCAACCACAATCAATCTGCAGTCTTTTGATTTCCAATCGTTTTGAGCCATGTCATATTCTAATCTGTTGTTCCTGGATCGGCTCCTTCTAGAGGTGGCTGGGATGAGGAGGCTGGGATCGTTGACTCCAAAGTCCAACCACCCAATCCGATATCCACAATACAGACATGACAGCCTCCTCATCCCATGACAATCTTTGAATTATCACTTTTCTCCCTCGCATTTCATTCTCTGCCTCTGATCATCCATGCGAGTGTGAGCTCACCGCATACATTCTTCGGTTGTCTAGTGAGGTACACCCGTCATGAATGTCCCGGGGTCGGGAAATGTGAGTCTAAGGACTGTCAGCTGTAAGTGAAAAGAAAAAGAAAATCGAGAGGCAAGCTTGATCTATCATATTCACTCTCTCAATTTCCCCTTGCTCTTACTCCTTCTCTAGCTGTTAGGCAAGATAAAAGGCTCTGCGGAGTGCTGACGATTCCTCACAGCAAGCAGACCACAGCTGTTCCGTTCTGAATCTCAACAGTCAATTGCTGCGTCGGATGATTACTATTCCCTATCGGATCGCACGACAACGTCCAGTTCCAGAACTCCAAGCGCGGGGAGTCGTCTCACCGTCCAGCGGTATGCTACACCGAATTCCCATCCTGTCTCCTACGCATCATCTCCCGCGGTATCTCGAACGCATCTAGGCGCCAATATGGCTAGTTCTCGATCGCAGCATTCCATTCTGGAACAGTCCCGAAACAGGAATGTTCCTCCCTCTGGCCCCAGTCCAGCTCGATTCGAGCAGGCCAGACTAGTCCCCGTCAGCGGCATGTCCGACGAGTCCATTCGACATGTCCCTAATGATAGTTATGCCGGCCGATCACCGACTCCCGGGATGGACGACTCGCCATACATTCGATTTGCCATCAATCAGCTCACACGAGAAGACGAGCCGGCGAGCTTATCGAGGCAATCCTCGGTCGCAAGTGTCGAATATCCACCACAGCCTCTTGTATGGGATGCAGCTCTGGGCCAGTTCACCCGTCCTTCGAAGCCTAAAGGAAGTCCATTACGGCCTTCACAAGAACGACTAGACCCGCAGAGTCCGCCAGAAAGGTCGCCACAGAACTCGGTGGATCCGGAGGCATTTGTTGCGGTTGACCCTCCGGACAATAACCTGCTTTATCCCCCACTGAATTTTGTGCCTATTGTTCTACGACCATGGGCACTAGCTCTGACCATCTTTTCTTGCTTTCTCATGATTGCCGGTGTTGTCTTTTGCAATGTCTGGTCTCAGCGACACAAAGGAATCTGGGACTACGATGGACAGGGAGGCTCACGGTATTTCGTGGTTCAATTTCTACCCCAGATTCTGGCCGCTATTATCACCGTCTGGACATTTGTAATCCAGGCGGCTGTATACCGCATCATGCCATTTGCAACTATGGCATCCGAGAAACCCCATGATCGGGTGATACAGGGGCTGCCAATTCTGTCACGCAACTTCCTGCTTCCTGACTGGTCGTATTTTAGACACGGAGAGCCCTTAGCTGGGTCTGCTCTGGTTACGATTTGGATCTCTAACCTCATTACAATCCCGCTTCTCAGCTGTTTCTTCCAAGCAAAGTGGTACCTGATCAATGGCATGGGGCAGTGGCGATGGAATGCTGTCGTAGCTGTCGGGTGGACACTCGTGGCCGTTTACGCGTTGCTTGCTCTTGGGCTGATGGCACTCCTAATTCGCTTTATGCGGACATGGTCTGGACTGATGTGGGATCCTGTCAGTCTGGCTGACCTGATTCCTGTCATCCAGCGATCAAACGTTCTGCATGACTTTGAACAATCAGAGACAGTAGCAAATGTCGGAAGTGCCCTTGAGCCCAGAGTCCTCCGGCTGGGCTATTGGCAAGTGTCGAACCGCGCTGAGGTCTTCTACGGAGTTGCCGAGGTTGATGCCCCGATACGGAATCCATCTCTGCATCGACCAGAGATGAGCCGTGAGAAGCAACCACTGGTCTCCAGGGTCTCCTTCGACATCGAGCGACGGAGCACTCATGCGGCCGAAGGCTTTGAACAGCAACTATATTCCCAATCCGTCCGTTATCGCTGGGCGCCGTGGTTTCTCAAAGACACCTTCGTGGTCGCTTGGTCGGTGATCATTGGCGCGCTTTTTATTGCCTTTGTGCTCGTCAGCTTTATCCACGATGCCATTAAAGGCGGGTTTCCTCCAAGGTTGCCAACATTGCCCTCGACAGGCGCTTTCTCATCCTCAAACTTCTTGTACAGCTTTATCCCTGCTCTGATTGGCAATATGCTGTTCCTCTCCTGGCAACCGATCGATGTCTACTTCCGTGCGCTGCAGCCGTACGCCACTTTGTCCTGTCCAGATGGCGCTCGAGCGGAACAAACCCTATTGCTAGGATATACCGCCTCCTTGCCTCTTCAGGTGACTGTGCAAGCTATTCTGAATAAGCACTACAAAGTGGCCTGGATCTCTTTGATGAGCATCGTATACGCAGCTCTCCCTATACTGGCTGGAGGCGTCTTCATTGCCCTCTGGTATCCCTCGCACGAAGAGGTACGAATCGCAGCATTGATGCCTGCTTTCTATGCCTTGGTTGCCTTCTGCGCTCTATACACCATATCATTTTTGTGTATATGGCCCCGCCGATGCCGTTATCTTCCTCACGACATCAGCACACTAGCAGACCAAATCAGCTTCTTTTACCAAAGTCCTCTTCTTGCCGATAAGCTCCTCCGCGAACCCAGAAGCCAGACGGATCTTATCACTCGACTAGTAACGGCACCTCCGGGAGAAAGGGAATATCCATTGTACGGCTTTGGGATCTATGTCGGGCGTGATGGGAAAGAGCATCTTGGAATCGACCGATTCCAACGACCTGGACGGTCCGATATGCTAATCACGACTGGAACGATGGAAGCCTGATTGATCCTGACCACTCATTCAAACACAAATCCGAGTTTGGGTATCCTGCGGTTACTTATGCAGCGGTGTGGCCCTTGAAACCTGCTTGTGCTCCGAAGCACTTTCACAAATTGAATTACGATTGAACGACGACATTACGACGATGTTCCACGCAGACCATTCAATTACGATAATATTGAAACGATTGACATATGATGACGACGATGATGTATGCTTAAATGTGGCGACTTGCTCCTAATTTTTCGTGATATTAGCGCCTTGTTTTCAGCATGTCTTTATACCATTTGTTTCGGTGATACTCTGCTATGTTCCTCTCAGGTTCTGAAAATGTTCTCTGACTTTTCTCTGTTTCCAAATCATCAACTACCTGCAATGGCATTGTATAGGCGCCTATTTGATTTCTCTCCTGTACACCTCTATAGAACACAAACAATAACAATAAAGTTGGGGTGACATCATCCCAATCTTATCTTGATAAGATTTGCGCACGTGCAGCAAGTCGGCCGAAACTCGGCAAGAAAGTAGGAACAGCCGCCATCTCCGAAACTCCCGATGTCAACTGTCACAGTCCGCTGATCTGAGTAATTACTGCACGCTGCACACTTGCAAAGTCAGATTGACAATGTGTTTTTATTGAGCTAGTTGATCACACAAGATACTCTGACGACCTTTGAAATGGATTTTTTCGATCGTTATATGGGCTTCAGAACCGTTGCATATGCCCCTAGTGACCAGACTTGAACCGATCAGCGCGTGCCGTTCTAATAGGATCATTAACCACTGTTTTTAATTACTTATATACTAAAGGTTTGTTTTGTCATAACATCATGGTCTACGGTGGAAAACCGAGCACAGGCTGCCAGAACTGTCGCCAAAGACACATCAAGGTACGCATCATACCATCTCACGCCGTCGGATCAACTAACAGTACCAGTGTGACGAGACCCGTCCTTCCTGCAAGGCATGTGTTCGAACAGGCCGCAAATGTCCTGGGTACAGACATCCGCTAGACGTTGTCTTGCGGGATCACACAGCCTTTCACCGCAGGAAGAACAATGCCGTGAGTAAATCGTCGAAAGACGTCAAGGGCGACACAAAAGAGCCAACGCCAACGCCAGTGCCAGTGCCAGTGCCATCGGCATCAAGTACTGCCATAGTGCATGCGACTCGTACTCCGCAGCCCGCAACTGCAGGTTCATGGCCGGTCCGCCGCGAAATTGGTGTCCCCAGGAAACTCTACCTGCCGCTGGAGGACACGGTGACTTCACTGTTCTTTAATTCGTACTTGTACCTCCCCAAAGATCCTCATATCCGGATTGGATTCATGGAGATCCTGCCGCAGTCGTACTCCAAAGCCCGATTCGGGTCGCATGTGCATCTCGGTGCGTTGGCTGTTGCTTTCTTCTCCGTTGCTGCGTGGACGGGCCATCGGTTGTTGCTGCGTACTGCGGAGCAGTTCTTTGTGAAGGCGTTGTCGAGGACGAGGGAGGCATTGGAGGGTGATGTTGAACAGAATTTGGATGACATGTTGATGACGGTGCTTTTGCTCTCAACATTTGAGGTTTGTATCCTTTTTCCATTTCACAGTAAGTATAGGTCACTGATGCATGAGTTTCAGGAGCTCTCTGCGCTGAAGGAACGAAGGGTGCCGAACAAGGCTCATCTGCGTGGAGCTATTGCCTTGCTCAATAGTCTTGGTGCCCAGAAGCGGGATTCGCCTTCGTCGAGAGTGTTGGTGAATGCGGTTCAGACTCAGATTGTATATCCTTGTGCGAGCATGTTGTGATGTTACTAACAGTATGCGCAGATAAGATCATCCATGGGCCTGGATTACCTGATGATTCAGACCCCGAAACAATGGCCCCTGGCACCACCGATGACTTCAAACGGCCCTTTGCAATTGACAGTCGCCACGTCTGAGATCGTCAGTCTCAGACTCACCTGGGATGAGCTCGCATCTAGCCCTCGGAAAGATAACGCAGACGAGATTCAGGATATTCTATCTCGAGCCGCCCTTGTCGACTCTAAGCTGGACGCCTGGCCTCGCTTCGTTCCCTCGTATTGGCTCCCACTTCCGGCATCTACTATCCCTTCATCCGTGCGAGATGCAGGCATCTTCCAGGGCAGGTGCGACTGCTACGCAGACCTTTGGGTGGCCTCTACGTGGAACCTCTACCGCGACTCGCGAATCGTAGTCCGAAAAATCATCCTCGACTGTCTGCACTCACTGAACAGTGACAGTGCCAATGACCACCAGATTCAAGAAACGATCTTAATGATCCAGTCCTTAACCACCGATATCTGTGCCTCCATTCCATTCTTTCTCGGCAGTCAGATACGATCCGCCCAAATGAGTCCTCACGGGATCGTGTACCCGGAAGCAGAGGAAAGGCGAGTCTCGCCAGCGCACCAGCAGACCGCGCCACTGCTGAGCGGGTGGTTCGTCTTGCCGTATTTGAATAGTTTCTGCTCACCAGGGCTGAGTTTACGCGATGACCAACTGGCGTGGATCAAGGGGCAGATTCAGCGGGTGGAGCGGATATACCCTTTTGATGGTCGTTTGGGGTAGCCTTGGTTCGCTATCAAATTGGCGAGCCTTCTTTTTTCCTCATAGTGTATTATTAGATCGCGACAACGATAAACTAAATTTCTTTATGGAACTTACTGATTGCATGAATCTCCAGCTACGAGCACAGCGAGCGAGCACGTGACTCGGAGCAAATATCAACTCCGCATGGTATCTCCGCCTGAGCGAGATCATTTCAATGGAAATCCGTTTGACTTCTCCTTCCTTAACACGACCATATTCCACCGTTTCTCTCCTTTCCTAGCGCTAAATCCATCTCATTGTGCGTGCATTGGCATGAGAATTGTCAGCTTCTAGCCACACCTCTACCGCAAGCCCTCAACCAAACCAAACCGAGTCAACCACTGACCACAACACAAAAACAACCCAGCTCAACACCATGCTCTCCTTCTTCAACTGGGGCCCCAGCCCAAGCCCAGAAACAGACTCAAAGAAGCCGTCTCCAGCACCCTCCCAACCCGACTCCGTCCCCGGACCAACCGAACCGCAGCCGCAACCAACGCAACCAATACACCCGCAACAACCCTCCCCAAAACCCCTCACAAACCTCAAACTCCTCTTGGGCGGGATGACCTTCTTCACCCTCTCGCTGCTCATCACCCGCCGCGCCTTCACCAAGCGCGTCCTCGCCTCCACGCCGCCCTACTGGACGTCGTCTGTGTACCACCGGCCCCCCGTCAACGGCGCGGGGGATGCGTTCGAGGCGCTGAGCCTCGCGACGCTGAATGTGTGTTCGTTTGCGATGATGGCTAGTGGCGGCGTGCTTTATGCGCTTGATATCAATGGGGTGGAGGATATGCGGCGGTATGTGAAGAAGGAGATGGGGACAGGGACGGTGCGGGATGAGGAGGTGGAGAGGGAGGTGGAGGAGTGGGTTGCCAAGGTGTTGGGGGAGAAGTTTGGGATGGACTTGAAGAAGGAGAAGGAGAAGGAGAAGGAGAAGGAGAAGGAGAAGGAAACAGAAACTGTTGGAGGGAAAGGGGAGTAGAGGGCTCTCCTCTTGTGTTTTGGAAAGAAAATGTAAAGTGAAAAATCATCCTCTACTCTTGTATACTAGTCATATCACGTCACGAATCATGAACTGCATCAGATTGTACAGCTTATATTACACTGTGTCTGGTCACACTAGTTGTCCATCCGTTCGTATCGCTCCCGCGCTGTTTGCCTTGTCTTCTCCAGGAACTCATCGTACCGGTTGCGTGTGTTGCGTCCCGCTTCCTCGACCGCATCACCCAGCTTGCTTCCTTGCGCACCCAGTCCGACACCCTGGGCATACACCTCCGTGGCTATCGGGGCGGTCATGCCCGTCCCCTGAGCACCCAGTCCAGAACCGGCCGACCAGCCCATCTTACTGAGGAGCGACGCGCCCTTCGATGTTGTCTCCACTGGTGGCTCATCTTCCTCCTTCGGCGCAGCAGGCTTGGCCTTGGTCGACGTTCGCGAGCTGCCAAACGCCTTTCGACGCTCCTTCGCACGGTCCCTATACTCGGGGGTAGACTGAACGATGCCATGTTTGATGAGCTTGCCCATTGCTTTGGATTTCAATTCGTCATTCTGCAAATTATCACGATGCAGCTGACTGAGACGTTCGTGTCTGTTGACTTCAGCCGAGCTCTTGAATTGCCGCATGCACAGATAGCAGCAATTCCGATTCAAATCCGCGTAGGATTGTGCGGGAGGAGCCGCAGAGTCGGCCGGCGACTCTCGGCTTTCCGCGCCGCCGTCGCTTCCCTTCTCGTCTGCGTCCTTTTTCTGAATGCCATGCAGCTCAGCATGCCGATTACTCCAGAACTGCAGATGAGAGGGAACGGCAACTTTCTTGGACGCTGCGCTTGCTGCGGCATCTGCTTTTCGCTTCTTTGCCTTCTCTGCGTCTTTCGTACTTTTCCCTTGGTTTTCCGCTTGGCCCTGCGCGGTTGAGACTTGGTTATTGTCCAACTCGGCAGTTGACACCGTCAACTCTGTCACATATGCCTCCTCGTCCCAGTACATAAGCTTCAAGGATGGGTTGCTGAGGGGACTGAAGGTAAATCGATCCGTGCTCGCCGAAGGATTGATGACAGGTACAAACACGCCAGCGTGTATGTAGCTTACAAGAACAGGCTTTGAGGAGATGGTAAATTTTTCAAATGAATGAAGTCGCGCAACAGCCGCTTGGGCATCCTGCAAGAACAGTAAGCTTAAGCGACGTGAAGATCATGACAAACGTACCTGAACAGTGGCGAATTCCGCAAATCCGTAGCGCCAGCTCTCATTGCTTTTGCGGTCTCTGACCAGTAAGACACGGCGAATAGAGCCATCTCTTGCCCCCAGATTGGAATCACCGGTGGTGGAAGCCACCTTGGCCCCCTTCCTCTGGTTTCCCGAAGATCCATCCGAACTGGAAGCAGGTCGATAGAGCTTAGCCACGCCCTTTGCAAGAAGCTCCTCGGTGACAGAAGGCTCAAGCCCTCGGAAGAGAAGGAATTGCGAAGGCTGATTGTCTGGAGCCGCATCGTTGTCGCCGTTGTTCTCAACCTTCGGAGCAGCAATTCCAGGCGGACCGGCCGGGCCAGGCTCTACGCCCTGTCAGAAACCCGCCCTATATCAGACTGACGGAACGACTTACCAGGTCGAGGCGCTGAGCATCGGAAGCATTTATTGCGAGTCGAGTAGTTAACAATAGCACACTGTAACATTCCAGGTCAGCTTGCTAGAATATGCCACAGCCCCACCTACTCACCATTTTGCATGTCCAGTCACCCTCGGCCCTGGCACGAGCGCGATCCTCCCTCTCACGGCTATAGGCGATGCGGACTTTGGTACCCTTGTCATTATTGCCGGCATTAGGTCCATGCAGATAGATCGATGGGAAGTTGCGCTCCATAAAGTCGCGTGCAAAGTCAAGGTTCCTAAATCTGAGGAAGCCAAGTTGCCGTGATTTCTCTGTACAGGTCAGACATTTGTGCGCAAATTCCGACAGAAGAGGAACGTACTGGTTTGTCGGTCACGGATCACCCGAACTTCTTCTAGACCCTCGACGTAGTAAAAGTCTTTGAGCTCATTCGAAATCTGTTCAACACGTCGACCGGAGGACACCCGGTGACATGCACATCTCAGCTTCTTGCCATCAAGAACGTGTTTGTGACATGGAGTGTAGCTCTAAAACTCCAGAAATGGAACTTCAAGGGGGGAAGGAGTTTTCCAACGTCTTCTTCCACCATATCCACCGGCAACCCGTCCATCATGACTTCTCTGCTTTCCTGGCCGTAGTAAGGCTGTTGACTTCGACGAGGGCTACGGCTGCGGCTGCGACTGCGACTGTAGCTTCTACTCCGGCTGTATCCGGGTGAACGATATCCCTCTCGATCACGATCTCTGTAGGCCGGCCTGCCGCGTCGCGGTGGTGGTGGTGATCTAGACGGTCGCCGACGATAGTCATCACGGTCGCGGCTTCGATAGCGAGGTCGGGGATCGACTTGGTCTCTGGATGGTTCGCGTCGTCGATCTGCAGCTGGGCCTCGCGGAGGAGAGCGCTGGCCTTCTTCACTCAGAGAACTCTGTTAGTAAATCTCTCTATCGCAGAGGAATATATGGCCTCTAGAAAGCATCCGGCTTGATATCATGTGGGGAAAGAGAGCGTTTACCGCCAGGCGATCGTGATCGGGAAGGCGAACGATCATCGTACATACGACCGTCCCGATCGTCACGGCGCGGGTAAGGACGATGAGAGGATACCGGAGGAAATCTGCTGTCTTCCGGATTGAAATGAGACATGATTACACCGCAAGAAAACTGTTGACGGAGATTTGGAGAAGGACGATCGACTGACGGAGATTCATGCAGATATTCGGCAGAATCCTAGACCGCCTTCTGAACTCGACTGTCGCTTATACTTCCCAATCGGGCGAGGACTAGAACTATATCTCCTTCGCAGGCGATAGACCACGCATCATCGCTCGTTAATTTTTGATACACCCTATAGGCTTCATGCAAATAGTTGAAGATTGGCTGCTCTCGTACGGCTTGATTTTACTCGTAATTTCATAGAACTAAGTGGAACCACGAGACAAAATAGTTCTGTTGATGGTCCCATATTTCCTTTGATAAATACTGCGATGTTAACATTTTCTGGCAAAGTAGCTACATCACCAATAGCCACTAGCTGCCCACAAAGTGCACGTATACTTTCTTGCAATTTAGGCAATATATCAGTGATATCTAGTTTCAAAGCTTCTTCAAGCTCTTTCACGGTTAGAGATCGCGTTGCGCTTGTAGCCCAGGCAAGGATAGCTTTAATCAGCCTCTTCCCACGTGTGGCTTGCGACATCAAGTCCAGTGTTCTCAAGTAAAGATCTTCCATGTCCTTGGGCACTTCCGCAAGGACCAAGCGGATTTCCTCTTCCGAATGTGAGTCGGATAACTCATTGAGAACCAAGACAGCCCAAAGCCAAGGTCCTCCAGACTTCTCTAAAATTCTATTCGCCAGAGCAGCACGAACAGCTTCGGTCCTGACGATCAGGCTATTGGCTTTCGCTCGAACAAGGGTTTCAGTATCATTCTTTGTGTCCGCCGTTGAAATAAGCTCCACCCGGACTTGGTTATGTCCTAACATTGTTATACACCTTTTAATTTTCGAGGTTTGTCGGCTTGTGACCAGAATTCTCGGCGGGGCCGAGCGATCAAGCTTGGTAAGCATAATTTCGAAGAAGGATGACAGGTTTGTACACTCATCGAGAGCACCAATGACCCGATAGTGTCGATGGAAGTTGGTCTTGAAGATCCCGGAGGTGAATGATCTTCTCCAGAGGAACCGAGCCTCATCATTATCGAGCTTTACATCTCTTCCACGCATCTCAAGCGGTAGTTGTTGTATCCCAGTGTTTGCGCAAGCCATTTGAAAAGCGAGAGATCGAAGACAAGTACTGAGCGGCGACTTGGACCTGTCCCTGTCATTGAAAAAAAAGAGACTGCAAGCTTCATGCTTTATGCGTAATTGAGAAACCAGATATCCTGAAAGTACGTACTTGCCAGACGCAGGTTTTCCTTAGAGTTAAAGCACACGTGGAGCATTGGCGTCGTCGCTTTCCCACTCCAGGTCCTTCCGTCGATTTTATCCATTCGCAAGTCCCAGGCAAGCGAGCGTCTCGAACGAGTATCAAGTCCTCCTCTTACTTGTGGGACACGTCGAGGTATTCTTTCAGGTCGTTGATGTTGCGACGAAGTAGCCTTTCCTTCAATTTCAGCGCTACGTTGAATTTAGCGAGCTGCTTGCGAGAGCTAGGACCGAATCATACCTGATTCCGCCGCACTGTTGATTGTGAACGAAAGTACATTGCGGATGAGTATGCTATTTGGATCGCTTGACGTTACATGTAGAGCGATGGCCAGCGTTCAACGGTATTCGTCTCTCTTCGCGTGGACAGGATATTGAGTCCCAAGGGCGCTTTCAAAGTCTGGGCAGGGAGAAACTCAGGACGGTGGGCCATGGCCGTGTTGTTGAGCAAGTTGAATGTATGGAGCAACAGATTCTGGAGGTATCTATGGCTGGACATGATGAATGAACTGTGTTCAAGACATGTACGTAATGCTATCTTCGTTCTTGTTCAATGTTGAGAATGACTGTGTTAAATTACATCACTGTTTCGATCAAAGCCATAGCTCTCTAATATCGTCTAAATGACGAGAGCATCATGATAGATAGCCGGGAGTATACACATTGTTGGAGCTAACGTTCAAATTCTTGAAGTGGATTCAAACCCATGTCTGATTAACTTTGCGTTTGCTAGTCTGACTATTCTAGTTGAAGTGACAAATCCCAATGTTTCCTCAGAAACAACGACTTCAATCGCAATCCGAATAGCAGGAGCTGGGGGTGCAAGTCTTTCGCATTTAAGCGCCGGGAGAGGCTTGTCGGCAAGGACGTGAAACAAGATGCGTATCAGGTGAAACAGATGCTATCCAGCAGGCTTTTACCCCTGGGACGGATCATTAATTTCGACAAGCACCTCAAGCTGCACTCTCTTTTATCCAATCGTTGAGTAGTAGGTTTCCATCGTTGGCGCTTTTATATCGCGGCGATTTCATATATAGCGCCCCTCTCCATCATGGACCCGTGTGTTCTGCCGAAATGTTCATCCATCTCTTTTATTTCGGCGCTCTCCCTCTAAAAAGGACTTGTATATATATGATACACTATATTGAAGAAACTGTGACCGCATAATGGAAAACTCCCAAGACATTGATCCTAGCGTCCTTGCCGGTTGAGTGTTTCGACGTTCAGCAACTCCGAATGACCACTAATCTCTTCGGCAGAATTACCAAAGGGCTGCCGAGTGACATCGGTCGAAAGCCATGGCATCAGTTTCTGGGCTAACACCAACCGTGTCGATGTCGAGTTAGCCGACGGAACCTCTTTATCGTTCTTCATCAAGGTGTTGACTGGCGAAACTGGCAAGAACATGGTTCATGGCGAGTATGAGTCCATGAAAGCCATCTACGCCGTCTCCCCGGATTTCGCTCCAAAGCCGATTGCATGTGGCACATTCATAAACACGCCGGATACACACTTCTTCCTTTGTGAGTATCGCGAGATGACGAACGAGATGCCAGACCCGTATAGGTTCGCCGCGCGGCTGGCAGCTCTGCATCAGGGCAGCGTCTCCCCAACCGGCAGATTTGGCTTTCATGTTACGACATACGGTGGCAATCTTCCTCGGACCAACGGGTGGGAGGACAGCTGGGAGGTATTCTTTAGGAAGAATATGAGATGGGCGCTTGATTGCGAAATTGCAGCTAAGGGATATGATGCTGAATTCGATGAACTTGTTCCGGTCCTATTCGACAAGGTCATTCCTCGTCTGTTGAGGCCTCTTGAAACTGAAGGCCGATCCGTGAAGCCTTCACTTGTCCATGGAGATCTTTGGTATGCAAACTCTGGTATCGACCTGGAAACCAACAAGTCCTTGGTCTTCGATGCATGTTGCTTTTATGCCCACAACGAATGTAAGTGGATGGCATCCATCAGTCTCTGCACTGTACTATGACTGACAAGAAGGATGCTACAGACGAATTCGGTCAGTGGCGACCGGTCTGTAATCGTTTCGGGCCCGAGTATCTGGCCGCGTATCACTCATATGTTCCAATCTCGGCACCGGAAGAGGACTATGATGGCCGTCTTGACCTATATAAACTGTGAGTATTCCTAAGCCATATCAAGATTTCGAGTGTGCTGACTTGAAGCAGAAGCTTCAATACACATGTATCTGCGCTTTTCAAAGATAACCAAATCTTGAGAGAGCAGTATGCTCCATGCCCCATCCCCTTCGTTACTGCTGTAGAAACTAATTCCAGAACAGGGTACTCGGAGATATGAGAGACCTAGTCCGAAGATATGGATGGATGACTGCCATGCGAATGACAAAGCAGGTAGGCATTCCTTGTGTAAACCTGGATCAAGATAGTGTGTGATGGGCGATTTATGATATTGGAAAGGTATATAATGGATGTTCAACGAAAACCCTTACTTTGTAGAAGTTCCGCTTGCCCTTGTGAATTGGTTGATCATGATTCCCAGCGTTGGCTTAATTTGATAGTGGCTTGATGGCTTGAGCTTGTGTAGTTGTTCGACCGGGTACCTGAGTACCTGGCACATGGTCATGCGGGCCAACATGGTTCGCTCTTTGCTTTTTTCCACCGGAGATGCCGTACTTGACATGTTTTTGATGGTCACAGTCAGAAACCTAACTCTGATTTGCGTAGGGACATAATTCCGCAATATGGAGAGCATCTCTTCTGTCAAGGAATGATGAGATAGCCGTTTCATTCTGGCATTGTGTTCCACAACGAGCCACCTGAACGACCGGTGGTCGTGAGGACACACCGTAGGTCTTCAAGCGTAAGTGGAGGCGGATGGAGACTGGAGAGAGCAAAGCTTCTGCGAGCTTCCAAAAGCTCTAGAGCTAATTTCCTTCTGTGGTATATTAGGCGAGATCACGTGAGAGAGCTCTCATTCCGCGCCAACTGGGCGCGTCAGCCCTTCTGTCAAGGTAAACTGGGATTTGGCAAGTGGATTAATTCAAAAATTTAGGAAAATCTACTTCCTAATACTGTTTCCATGATGAGTATTCCACGGCCTATGTAGATGCACAGACGCATGTCAGAAATCCCGTCATGACCTGAGTTGAATGCGGAGATCTATGACGTGGCAGGATTGGCGGCGGGGGGAGAATACAGGGAGGGGTAACTTGTGGCTTGAGCAGATCTCCGATGCTAAGCTAGCTCCATATGGTCGAGATTCAAAACTGCCCCTCCTTCACAATTTTCCTCTTGCTTCCCCTCTCTCCTCATCATCAAATATCACATATCCACGTTTTCAATTAGCAATAAAATCAGCAATCATGAGTGTCAAAACTTTCTTCGATATCACCATCAACGGCCGTAAGTTTCTCCGTGGTTCTATCGAAGTGAGGGGCATGTTTCTGACCATGATTATCCTACAGAGCCGGCAGGCCGCATCACCTTCAAGCTGTTCAACGACGTCGTTCCCAAGACCGCCGAGAACTTCCGTGCTCTCTGCACTGGTGAGAAGGGCTTCGGCTACAAGGGTTCTAGTTTCCACCGCATCATCCCTCAGTTCATGCTCCAGGGTGGTGATTTCACCAAGGGCAACGTGAGTTTACTCATCAAACCTACTCTGGCACTGAAGCGAAAAGAAAAGTTCTTACGAAGTATACTGATCACCGCTGCAGGGCACTGGTGGCAAGTCCATCTACGGTGAGAAGTTCGCGGATGAGAACTTCCAGCTGAAGCACGACAAGCCCGGTCTGCTCTCCATGGCCAACGCCGGCAAGAACACGTACGTCGCTTCCCCCGGTATCTCCTACTCGAGTTCATCAAATATTGACATGTGACCAAACAGCAACGGCTCCCAGTTCTTCATCACCACCGTTGTTACAGACTGGCTTAACGGCGCCCACGTCGTCTTTGGTGAGGTCGAGGACGGCATGGACCTTGTCAAGAAGATCGAAAGCTATGGCAGCGGGTCCGGTACTCCCAAGGCAAAGATTACCATCGCCGACTGCGGTCAGCTGTAATGAGTAATTGTCCTTGCATGATTGCGTCGGACTGTAGTTGCGCCAAAGATGCTCCATTTGAGTACAGCTGAATAGCCTAATGAGAGCCAGTGACTAGGTCTTTGAACTAGTGCATTTCATACTTGAGCCTCGTAATTCTTGTAGCTTCGAGTGACCGTAGTGCACTCAAATTGAACATCACCAATTCCAAATTCCCTGCAAGATCAGATATGATACGAATACGGGCCCTGCTAAAGGAAGATTTTACACCGCATAGACGTCCTTCATCTCAGCGCAGTGAGAAATATGCAGCGTATCTCCATGGGTGCAATACTCTAATACAGTAAGAGCTATGAGCATTTCGTTCGCTATCCCTAAACGATGATCGGCAACGCTTCCGTCAATCAGAGGTTCAGCCTTACATCTGGCTTGCTCAGAAGAACATGCAACTTTACAATATTGAGCACTGCTTTCCGGGTCGTAATGCTCGAAAGCATGTGCGTTGTGATCGGTAGCACAATCGTACGTCAAACGAGACTGAGTCTTGAAGCACACACCATTGGACGTACAGACTCTCTCTGCAAAAGAAGATTGTAACAGACATCGTAATCTGAAGCAAATCAGTTACAGGAATTGAACTTGAAGAGATCGACCCTTGGAATTTATCTATTCAACAAGTATCCAGTATCATCACAAAAATAAAGCCAGCCGATAGATCCGAACTGAAAACAGGAGGTGAACTGCGTGCATAGCTGTATGCCGTACACAAACCGAGCAGATACAGCTGAGCAAGAAACAAGACTAATAACAAAAGACGATGGCTCCTTGCAGAAGTTAAAGAGTCCCGGGAGACAGGCCACAGTCAAGGCTCTGATGTGGGCATGGCTGTCAGGCGTAACCCTGAGTTACTGGTCCTCGCTGAGCAGGCCGAAAACTTGCATGTCCGGCACCATTGACAAGTGGCAGCCAATCCCATGCCTCTGCGAAACGAGCACTAGACTGAATCGCTCGTTGCAGCTCTGATCTAGAGATCCGCAGACGACATGAATAGGCAACCAGCCTATATCGCCGACTCATGGAGGAGTTTAGGCCGCCCCTTGCATGTCAACATACGACTGGTATTGGCGTCGAGGCAGGTTTTTGCAGCAATGTGCTCGGGTTGAGAGATCGGCCAGTCATGCGATGATTTTTCGTTCATCCTTGGTTGTGGTGTTGTCCAAGAGACCATGGTCAGCGAGCTTTGCTGCACTCTACAACGCACCTCATAGGGGGAGCTCCTCGAGCAGATTATGTTGGTGGGCACCATGTCTCGCAGATTCCTAGTGCTTGCTGGAGTTCTTCGGCGTCTTGAATCTGTTCTGGGTAGGAATATGGTGGCGGGAGCGTTGGCGGATTTCTGTGTGGTCAGCATATTTGAGGATCGACCAGTCGAAAATTGCTATTATTCCGGTGTATACTGTTTCTGGTGGTCCGCTGTATCCCGTCGTCAGCCACTGCATAGCGTTATTGCCTGTAAATTCTCCAGATAAGTCGAACTAGCCTCTCGTGTTTAGTACTCAGTTGACGTCGTTTACTTGAGTCATCACTGTCGGCCTGCGGGACGTCCTCACAGTTCTTAGAAGATGCAGCGAACCTGCTCCAACTGAATCAAGTGAGACACTAAATGTGCAAGCCGTCCTGTATCGCCCATTGTGTCCGTTATCTTCTCCTTGTTTCTTGGCTCATGGTCCTTAACTTGTCGTTGTATGGTGATGGCCTGTACAGAACTCGTCGTGGTATGTGAGATTGCCATCGGAAGTAATCACCAATTTTCTGACCTTCGTTTCGTGTGCGACATGTCCCAAAATTGTGACTAATATACCCTTGATACTGTTCATGAGGCCGTCTAAGGGTGGCTTGCACTCGAAGGAACACGTATCAGCCAGCTCGAAGCCTCGCAATCACATTAGAAGACGATTAGTTTAATCTCCGGGCTAGATATTCGAAAATTGCCTGGAGACGTACGTTTGTCAAGGAGATGACCCTGTTTCGTGATGGTGGGCTTCTATCATCCATGGATAAAGCAGGTATGTACTTACATCAGTCCATCAGTCTAGTCTCAGAGTACGTGAGTGGATGAAGAGAGAACATGCCAGTGCTTGATCATATATCAAGAAATAATGCAGGAAGAAGATAAAGTTCAAAAAGCGAAGTGGCTGGAAGAAGAGGGAATTTAGGTTGTAGAACATTCTATCCTATGGGTATAGACCAACTATATTCACGTAACAGTTTCCGAAACACAGGTTCATTTTGAAGTTACCACACTCTACATGAATCATCAGCTTGGTAGTCACAGTTTTCAAGAAGAAGAAATGAATATACTCACGAATTCTTTCACCATTCTGATTTCACCATGCCCAGAGTCATCCTCTGAGAGACTCAAGCGGGAGATCTCTGGTGACGGGACGGCATGCACATTCACTCCCCCTGCAATATGTACGTCATGTTTCCCTTGAGTTTCATACTCTAGATTCTGGTACGCATTCTGGTTTCTCTCTTGCAGTTGAATAGGGAGTCCACTCCAGCTGTTGGTGGTGATGGAGCGTTTTTTGATACGGGCTGAGGAGGCGCTGCGGTTGTAGTGGTTTGCCGCTTGCCCGGACGAGTTGTAATTGTAGTTGTAGTTGGCGCTGCTGGCATTGCTCGTGATAAAGGTCTTGAAGGGAGGTAGGCAGCCGACGATCATGGCTTTGCAGGTCAGCATTGGCTGCATAGATGGTCGCTGGATACAATACATACAGATTGAGGACTCGGCAATACTCCAGACGGCCAGAGCGGCTTGATCCGAGTACGCTTTGCCGGTGATTGCCACAGCACGGATAATGGCTGCAGCGATGATAATAAATCCGAGACAGAAGACGGTTGCTAGGCCGAGCTTCTGGTGGAGGTTCATCTTGGTCTTCCACAGGATGCGGAGGGGGAGGTACATAACTGTACATCTCGTTAACTCTTACCGCAACACCTCTTGAGGGGACATACTCATCAAGTCGGTGATGATGTCGACAGCCGTACTGTAGCAGATGGAAATGACAGATCCTTGGATGTCAACCGGTTTGGTGCATTTTCCTGATGCCAGTCAGCTAACGCACACCAAAGCTCAACGACCACAATACCGAATTTGAAATAATCCGACGGAGGATGACAATTCAAGATCGACGCCAGCCAGCATCCAATATACGCCAATACCGCGAACGTTGCAACTCCCCACCATACCCGACGATAATGCGGCAAGCCATCCGAAATGAGCCAAAACAGCGCAAGGAATGAACCCTTGATGCTCCAGAGCACCGACCAGAAAATGCCGATGATGACGAACTCATAATGCGTGTACTTGAGAGCATGATGGACGATATCAGGACCGGTGACGTTCAACACCATGTAATAAAGATGCGGGGCTTGCAGAGTCTGGAGAATTGCATTGGTGACAAGGAAGACCAGGGCCAGGAGAACGAAGTAATCGTCGGCCAGGAGACGCTTCATGCGTTGGATGCGGATCGCGAAGCGAATGGAGGCGAAGATGATGCCTAACCCGGCACCAGTCCAGGTCACTCCGATCAGTCCATTGACAGAGAGCTGAGTTGCGATGCCCTGAGGGGCAATATTGGCCATGATGGGAGCACGCGGGTCATGGGGAGGAGTTAGAGAGGGAGATACGTCTAAGAACTAGAATTCCACGGGGAGAGGAATGGATTGGCAATATATTATAGCTGGAGAAACTGTCATTACTTCTATTATTCGGCATGGCTACAAGGAAGAGAATCCTGTCAAAACAGTCAAGATTTGACTTTGTAAGGTGCATACTGACGGCAAAATTGGTCCAACAGGATTCGAAACAAGGGGGATAACTCCGTCCCATAGACTCCATGACCTGGGATCTGGTCGAGTAGACTAAGGTACTCTGTAGGGAACGTCGAATTAGTTGAATGCCAGATTGCTCATAAATGGGGCCAAATCTCTTCTCTGAGCCGGATACTGGATAACTATCGAACGGATATAGACTGGAGAGCGCGCTAAAATGGACTGGACAAGGAGCCGTTTCAACATCCTAGTAGATGAGTTCCTATGGCTGAATTTTCGTTAATAATGGGATAGTGAGAGACATGGATGCATTGATCTAGCAGGGATTATGCGAGGCTAAGCAAAGTCTCTCTGTTGCTGTAACCAATTCAACGGTGTTGCAGTAGGCTACCGTGGACACTTGGTAGCATTTATATCGCGACATTGTTTTGATATACGGGTCGCACATACTACCATGATCTCGATGATCAGGATGATCAACAGATCATCACAAAATGGAAGAGCTGGTGGAATCTTGTCCTTCACAGGAAGCTAATAAACCAGATCATAGGAAGTCTAAAGAAGACTAAATCTAAGCGAAGCAAAGGAAATGAAGCAATTCCCAACAGGGAAATACACCGGAGACGCTAACATAAGAATCGCGCAGTGCTCCGAGGGACGGACAGACAGACGTTCCAAAATTGACACTCGCCCACGTCTGTGCCTCAGGGTTTCTCTCCGTCCAAAGACTTCGAGTGACCATTCAGATGTTGTTTCGAAATGAAGCCATCGTTTAGCTCCCTCTAGTTTGATGCTAGTATCCTCGACTCTTCCTCGGTTACGGAGTAAATCGCATCCACATCCACCTGGGTCCACCGTCCCATTGTCTGAAGTCTGGAGATTCTGGACTTTTCGTACTTGGTAGCTATCCACTCCATAATAGGTATTACCCTCTTCCGACTTCATACAAGTCAGGATACTGACTCTCTCGTTCTTGTAGCATCGGCCGACTCGGATATAGATCACTGGATCATGGTTCTAAGAGCTCGGAATTATGATAATTACTCGACAAACAACCGTCCGAAGGTCATCCGGCACTGCCATCCTCGCGTGTACTCCATCCTCCAGGCACGTTCACAAGGAAATGAAGCTAAGCATCTAGCCGATGTCACCTATTTGCGAGCTAATTGCGGTAGATTGAGACCAGGATGGAGTCAACGAATTCGCCAATAAACAATGCTCTTGTCTAGACTCGAGAATCATGGCTTGTACCTGCATAACTGCATCCATACATGCACGTTATGCAAGTGCGCCCATACGTTGCGATACTTAAATGCAACACTCAACGTCCCTCTCCAGCGTTGATATTATTTGCTTCCGACATCTGTCACTCGTTGCTTGCCATTCCTTCTCTCCTTTTCTTTCCTTTTTGTTTGAACTTTTAATCCAGCCCAATTTTGATTTCAGATGGGCCCCACGCTCCTTTCATTACTGGCCCTGTCCGGGCTCAGTTACGCTACCTTTGGACCCTCGTGCAAATGCGCAAGTATCCCGCTCAGCAGAGTACCAAATCGAAAGCTGACATCTCGAAGGCGCCAGGTGACTCCTGCTGGCCTTCCATCGATACCTGGAATGCTTTGAACTCTTCCGTCTCCGGGAAACTCATTCTCGATACGCCGCTGGCCATCTCCTGCTACCCTAGTCCGTACCAGAATGCGGAACAGTGTGCCTACGTGTACTCGCAATGGTACAATTCTACCTTTCAGTCTCTCTCTCCCGTCGGTTACATTTACCCGACCGATGACTCGTGTCCTCCTGTCGATCTGAGTTCCGGCGAAACCCCTGGAAAGTGCACTCTGGGCCAAGCCCCACTGTACACAATCAATGCGACAGAACCAGAGGAACTGGCAACGGGCATTGCCTTTGCGAAGAAGAACAACGTGCGTCTGGTTGTAAGAAACACAGGACATGACATTCTGGGAAAGTATGTACTGTTCCCGCTCGCTTCTACGGAAGAGACTGACATAACAAGGTCGGAGGGATATGGGGCTCTCCAAATCTGGATCAAGTACATTCAGAAGGGCATCTCATACCAGGAGAGCTACAAAGCGTCGGATGGGTGTGTCAAGAGTAATTGGACCGGTGCCGCCTTTACCGTCGCAGGAGGTTACGTTTGGCAAGACGTGTATGCCGAAGTCTTCAAGCGCAACTTGACCATCGTTGGCGGCGGCGATCCCGTATGTCCTCCCGGCTTTTATTTGCGCAGTGCATAGACTGATCTTATAGACCGTCGGTGTCATCGGTGGCTACGCCCAAGGTGGCGGTCATTCACCCGCCAGTCGCGATTACGGTCTGGGCGCCGACCAGATCCTCGAAGCGCAAGTTGTTCTGGCTGATGGCAGCATTGTCACCGCAAACGCTTGCCAGAATTCTGATCTGTACTTTGCTATCCGTGGCGGTGGTGGAGGCACCTACGGCGTGGTCATCTCCATGACCTTCAAGGCGTATCCCACCCTACCTGTGGTCGCGCAGTCCCTCACCATCACCCCGCTGACCAGCGACACTGACCCTCTCCTGGATGCTATCACCGAGATCTATGGTCAATATCCTGCTCTGTCTGACGCCGGCTACTCCGGCTACGGCACCTGGTCCATCAACGGGCCCATGGCCCTCTTTGGCAACCAGACCATTGGCTACGTTCATGCCATTGCAATCATGGGCAAGTCACTGAGCGCCTCCCAGGCCGCTTTCGCGCCCCTGCTGTCCAAGCTGCAGAAATACAACGGCACCTCCCTCTTTATCACCGTCAACTACTACCAGTTCCCCAGCTATCCTGCCTATTACACCGCCATGTCTGGCGTGCACCAGTCCGTCGGTTCGGCCAACTCGGCCCTGACCTCTCGCATGTTCGACAAGAGTGCCCTGACCGTGAATCCTACCATCCTCCGCTCCATGATCGGCGCCATCGCCGGCGAGCCGGAGGAGTACACCATCAACAGTGTGGAGATGGTCGGCGGCGGAAAGGTTCTCAGCGACGGCTCAGATCCCAACTCTGGCGTGAATCCCGCTTGGCGCTCAACTTACATTGTCAACGTGGTCGCGAGAGGATGGGCCGAGGGCGCGGATGCGGCCACCGCTCAGGCCGTCAAGGACGACATCACATACGTCAAGGGCGGCGCCATGAGACTACTCACGCCGTTCCTGGGCAGCTACATGAATGAGGTGCGTTGGCTCCCTCTTGAGCTATAGAATTCCTGCTGACGATGACAGGCTGACCGCAATGACCCTCTCTGGGCCACGGACTTTTTCGGCACCAACTACATCCGTCTCGCGCTGATCAAGAGGAAGTACGATCCTGAGGGAGTGTTCTACTGCCCCAAGTGTGTGGGCAGCATGTCATATTACCAGAAGAACTTGGATGGACTGGGTTACGGCCCGCTGTGCTCTATTGGATTCTAGAGCGCTGTGTAGACTTGGAGGATGTGTATATATACCAAGCATTATTTTCTTATATAGTATTACTACTTCAATAGGATAATTGGTCATAGACATTTGATTATACTGTGATTGTTCGATTGACAACTCCATCCTGTTGGTGGTGGTTCTCACATGGATAACTGATCGCTCAGCGAAGGTTTTTGTCCCTTAGATTGATGCCAGCTCCCGGCTCGACTTGAGGCACTCATGTCGCGTTTTGGTTGCAGCGTCGCAATGTGTCCCCTAAGGTGCATCATTATGCGATTGATGCCCGAGAAACGTCCCAATCGCTACTCTCATTGGAATACGTCAACGCTGGGAGAATCCTCAACTCGGACTATTTTATCAAACTCACTATGACCAGCCGTGCGAGTCTGGGCGGTACAAATAGAACCAGAAACCCTCTTGCTGCCATTTCAATGACGAGAAGGATCCCCAAGCCGTACTATCGTATCTTGTTCGTTCTCGGAATGTCTGCACGGAGGTACGTCGATGTATTCCACTAGTCTAACAGGAGACGAATGTCGAAGGAATATGGCAGAGATTATTTCCGCAATATCGCTAGGTATGTGTCGGCGAGATGGCGAGACTGGCGAGAACCTACAGTAGGTATACTCACATCAGCTTCTTTCACATTTGACGAGATTCGACTTCATCGATCCAGACAGACACAAGTGCCACCATGTCTAGGTATGTATCGTATCCGTAGCGACCCATAGGCTACCTCACCCGCAAACCCTTGACGGTTTAAGTGTAAGCACGTTTCTATGTTTCTGGTGGTCGCATTGCAGCGTTCCGAGAGACTGTATGAGGTAGACACGAGGGTGAAAGCGTATAGCCAGTGATTGCGCAAGTTCAAAAGGGACTATCTAGAGAAACGCGATTATGAGATTAGTTCTAAAATCTCATGAATCGAAGACTAGGGATCCTGTAGGACACTTAGTGAGATAGCGGATGCTAACTTGCATGGGGCAACAAGTCTGTTGCTCTTTGTGGGCCCAGGAACGATACATTGACTTTGCGCTTCGTAGGCCTATGCTCGACTGAGAATCATGAGTTGGTCGATGCAATCATTGTTTGCTGATGCTTTGAGACTTATCAACTGTCAAGGCAAACTCTGCAGTCTCTCGTCTGCGAGCAGAGCTAGAGAACGAGTCAGCGGAACAGAGTTAAACTTTCTAAAAGACCCTACATAGAGGTAGAGTAAACGTGTGGGATCAAAACAATGACCAAAACAAGCAACGCGTGCTGATGTTGGTCTCATGTTTCTGTTAAAGTCCCCAGATCAAAGGCAGTCTGGACCAAGGTACAAGGCCATACTACAATCTACTCAGAGCACAATGAAGCAAAAGGTGGAAGATAAGATCATAAATTCATTAATCTACTTTCAGAAGACCGAAGTAGAATGTGACAAAGTGTAAAACCAGTAAATCATCAATCTTCATCCCCAAATTCAACCCCCCATAGAACATCAAGCCACCAAAGATGATCCAGATCATCCCCCGAGCGACATTAACCATGAGTGAAGGAAAAGGAGAACTGTGTTGATGTCGAAAAGACAAAAGCGACAAGGTAAGTTCATTGCATCTGCACAACCATGTTAGCAAGAAGTCGTCATGTCAGAGAAGAGAAGAAAACTCACCAGCAACAACCACTTGTTTTCAGCGAGCTGACAGAACTCCTCACTTGGGAGGCTCAGCAAGGCAAATGCCATGGTAGCAGTAGCCAACACCTGGACCGCAATCGGAGTTCTTGTGGCACACAGGATCGGCTTCTTCGCTGCGAGGAACAACGGGAGGCTCAGCGAGACAGATGTCATGGTAGCAGTAACCCACACCGGGACCAAAGTCGGAGTTCTTGTGGCAAACAGGATCGGCCTGTTCCTCACGAGCAAGCACGGGAGGCTCAGCGAGACAGATGCCATGGTAACAGTAGCCAACGCCAGGACCACAGTCGGAATTCTTGTGGCAGACAGGGTCGGCCGACACTTCACGAGCAACCTTGGGAGGTTCAGCGAGACAGATGCCATGGTAACAGTAGCCAACACCTGGACCGCAGTCGGAGTTCTTGTGGCAGACGGGGTCGGCAGATTCGTCACGAGAGGTAAGCTTGGGAGGTTCCGCAAGACAAATGCCATGGTAGCAGTAACCAACGCCAGGGCCGCAGTCAGAGTTCTTGTGGCAAACGGGATCCGCAGGTTCAGAAGTCTGAACAAGGGAGGCAAGATTCTTGTCCGCAATGTTTGAGGCGGGACCCTCTCCAATACCCCAATGGCAAATACCAGAGATGCAAAGACCGTTGAAGCAATCTTCGTTAGTACCGCAAGGAACGATAGAAGCATCATCTCGCTCGACCTTGGGAGGGTCGGCAACGCAGATTCCCTTGTAGCAGTAGCCCACGCCAGGACCGCAGTCGGAGTTCTTGTGGCAGATTGGATCATCACGCTCGACTTTGGGAGGGTCAGCAACGCAGATTCCCTTGTAGCAGTAGCCCACACCCGGACCGCAGTCGGAGTTCTTGTGGCAGATTGGGTCGGCACACTTGATCTTGGGAGGCTCAGCCAGGCAGATGCCTTTGTAGCAGTAGCCCACACCAGGACCGCAGTCGGAGTTCTTGTGGCAGATCGGGTCGGCACGCTTGATCTTGGGAGGCTCAGCCAGGCAGATGCCTTTGTAGCAGTAGCCCACACCAGGACCGCAGTCGGAGTTTTTGTGGCAAACGGGATCAGCAGGGTTGACAAGGCCTGTTGAGATTGAAGGAACAAAGGTGTTAGTAATATGAGAAGATTATTTGGAACGCTTGGAAGAAGAGGAAGGAGAACCAGGTGAGCTAAGGTAAAACACAAGAGGAAAGGACGTACCAAGACCATTGTCAGAGAGGTTCATGCCATCAACGACAGAAGCAGGTATAGCAGCAGAAGCTGCCATACCTGCAAACACGCCGAGAGCGAGAGTGGAGAACTTCATTGTGACTGAGACTTGACAAGAAGTCACAAAGAAGAGATGTAAGAGCGAAGAGGTTGTTGATCGATGAGAGTCAGAAGGTTTCAAGAAGTTAGAGAAGAAGATCGATGCGAAGAGGGGTGAGGAGAGAAAGAGAGAAAGAGGTGCAGAAGCAGGAGAAGAAGGGGGTATTTATACCTGAGATCTTGTCGCTAAAGAGTGTGCTATAACAGGTATCTCGCTTAATTTTTTGGAGTCGTGAATATCCAATGCAGAGATTTCTGCTATCATCGCTTCTAGAGAGGTCGATGACGGTGGCGCGACCCCTAGAGGAGCGTTGTCCGTGAATAAAAGGCTCTCTGGAAGTGACAGTGACGCCTCTTCCCTGCGATAGCCTTCCATATGGGGCGCACCGTGAATAACTTCACGGAATACTCCGTTAATTTGACCCAGAGCTCCGAGCTGGCCCATCTTAAGCGACAGGTTCAAGACATCGGGCGGTTCGGAACGGATATTTCCATTTAAGAAGTGAATTTTGACTGGGTTTAACATTGGCAGAGGATAGTCGTGGCTATAGCAGAGACAGGACAGGACATGAAGGTGGAGAAGGTCAAGGCATAGGTATGTTATACTTCATTATGAGGTCTGAACTCGCTGCAGGGGCTATCTTGATTGTTCACTATATGCTGCATTGTCTACAGGATGCAATCTTATATAAGGCCTTATCTACATATCTTAGCCTTTTCATGTCAAGCAAAGAGGATAATGCTATTATGCTACACTATCTTCTTTGAGATGGTGATATGGAGTTTACAGAGTGAGATTACAGCGTTCCGCAAGAGATTTTGGCCATCAGAGGCTTCAAGTCCCAAGGTGGATACCTCTATTCTAATATCTTCTTACTGAGCGTACGATCTTCAGTTGGAGTACATTTGACAAGCAAGAAAGTAAGTTGAGCCAAGTCCTAGAGCAAGCGCGGAGAGTAAGTTGCAACATCATTCTCAGGAGTATCCAGATTGTCAACAAGTGATTGAACCTTATCCAGAACTACCGACAAGAAGAGGCCACCTGAAGGTAAGTCATGGCTGCAAACGACTTTCACGTTGTATTCGAACCCATGATCATGAATGCTGATTTGATAAAGGCAAGGGTACAGGAACATTGGAGACACGCGCACAAGAAACAATACAATCTAGGCAGCTACGGTTGATCTTCACAAGAGTACAAAAGTAATTCCAGATACGTATCTGCTTTCGCATCCGCTGCTGTTTCGGTTTCAGAGCTGACTTGTGACAAGACCCTTGGTCTATCAAGGATCTGGTCAAAGCAGAGCAGAGCACGTCGGAGAGCAATAGACACCAAGAGTTCCTCCTCGGATTGAACACAAATGCCTGCTGACTTTTGGGCTGTAATAGGGTCATGGCGAGGAATAGACGATTGCACAGGATCGAGTGGTGGATGGCGTGATAACTGGCATGGGAGGGTTTGCAATGTTGAGTATACCTCGAAGGCTTGGGAGAACATCGTTCTTTCATCTTGAAGCACCGAGTTGGAGGCTATCTCAAGACCGATATTGGAGAGGAATACGAACAATTTACTCCTCATGTCGCGTGAGCATCCACGGAGTTTGAGGCTCGATCTTTTTGATACAGGCCCTATAGTAGGAACGTTCCAGTATTCATATTGCATCGTCGGACTGCAGACAAGGACCAGGTACATCAAACAAGCGTGACATTCATTGTTGAAAGTCCATCGACTTGGTATGTACTTCTGTGATAACCTAGCTTCGTGGAAAACCTTCTCATCATTGTACACATCAAATACAAGTCAGGTCTACTGCTTTGAATCACCATGTACACCGGGTCCCGACCCCTCCCTCTCAATCTTGAATCCGCGCACCAACAGCAGGCTGTAATAACCAATTTCAATCCAGAGAAAACTTAGGGCTGTGAATAAGCTTGCCTAACAACCAGATATAGAGCCAGCACGCAGTCTTCAGCAGTGGCAAACGCTGCCTTGAAGTTCTCCGGTTCAGAAATCAAAGCCGGAGCGACAATTTCAAGGATCTTCCCCCAATCCTCAATCGGCAGAGTGCAGACACCACTCTTCACGTAGCATCCGGCATGTGTGCCAAGGGCATATTGCTTCAGCTCACTGCAGCTCGGCGACTGTGAGCCATTGGTGAAGGGGACTAGTTCCTCCTGCAGGCAGAGCATCGTCTCTGTGATCCATTCCTGACCGGACGCGCTCATCTTGGGTCTCCAGACGAGAGACTTTTCACAGAATTTCTGGCCGAATCCTATCGGATAGCCTGACGGTCCACAGTGGTATCGAGACTCGAGGCATTGCGCGTAGAAGTTGCAGCTGTTGGGGTGGGGGTGAGTACATTCTTCAAAACTGTCATCTTGTCTGCATTTATGTTAGTTTCATGTGTTTAACATCTCATCCACGAAGCTGTAAATATTGTGATATACTAAAAATGTGAGAAGTCGCTGGCTGATCAGACCTTTGAGAATTCGGCGTCGCGTCAGCTTGCCTCGAGAACGCCAAAACAAGTATGGCATAAGCCCAGCCGGCCAAAGATACGCTTGTCAATATGCGATGAGGATACATTAGGAGGTTATGTGCTCTCTAAGAATAAGTTTTCAGTCGCTCGAGTAATGATAGGATGGAAATGTCTTGGAATAGGCCTAGAGGGGCACTTGCAGTTATCTGAGCTTCCCTGTAGAGGTCAGTGCTCAAGCCAGCGCTGATCCTGGTATTTTATGTGCATATCACGCACCAAAATATAGAAGCATGTGGACAGCGACGAGTTGCAATATATTGACACAGAACAGCCAGGTCTAGATCGAAGGCAAGGGAAAATCCCGTACGCATAGTCCAGGTCGATTTCGGTGTCTGATATATATCTTCCGCTTCATATACGTAAAGATCTACTACAACTCAACTATCATATAGCTTGAAGCTAATATCTATTAAAATCACCCGACAATATGCTGATGATAGTGTCCAAGAAATATAGACTGAAAACCTCCACCAGGACAGACTACGAGCTCGAACTGAATCATCCCTCAACTATTTACACAGCATACGTGGTATGAGTATCCAGCGACTTGTGGATGGGTTTGATTATGGGTAAGAGTCAACATTATGTACCCATTAGAATCTGATACGGGTCCAAACGGTCAAGGCTGAGTTCAGAAATCTAAAGCCTGGAGCTTTCCCAGACGGACTCAACGTTGGCGTCCTGAAGCAATCAGAGGCAGAACCAACCCCCTACCAAACCAGTCTGTGTACACCCCATGTATAGTGCACTTTTCACAAGTCAAGTCTGTTGCTATGCGAGATTGGAAGCCGGGGAAGGAGAGAGTGTTGGCAAAGGATGGGCTAGGAGGTCAATCGGCTATCGAGCGAGAATCGTGTCTGTACAAGAGGCATCAGCAGTGACTTGGTTAGGTATATTTCAAAGGTTATGGCAGACACCCACAGTAGTAGAAGCACATAAACGGAGTTGAGGCAGTAGCGGTAGTTGGGCTGGTAGTATCTCATAAGAAGATCTACGATAGAGATGAGGCAAGCATGTCAATGGAGAGGCGATGAACCTTAAGACGAGATGCTCTAGTCTGTTTCCTAAACATGTAGACGCCGGAAGATTCGCATTTGACACAGCGCATGGAACAGACAGCAAAACGTTGAGCAGACGTGAAACAGTGACCCAAGCTTCAGCTTCCACTCCTTTTCGCACAACAGTCTTTTGAGTTGCCGTCAATATCCTTGGGAGACAGATATATCAGCTGCTTTTACATTTTGTCTACTTTTTTTTCCCCTCTATAGCATGACATTGCATCAGAAGATGTGAGATCCGGAGCTTCAGCCTTGACTACAATGACTTTCCTCCCCAAATTCATAATTTGCTTGAGGTTTCTTGAATTATATGGATCAAAGCTGACCCCAAGCACAGATCAGGGTTGCTCTACTCACGCCTGGCTGACGCTTGCTGTGCATGGCCATCGTTTGAGACTTCCCATTAGCAAACGCAAACATTGCTTTAGGATTGTTCTCAAAGCAGATGGCGGGCGTATCCCGTACCTGACCTGTTCCTGAGAGGAGATTCGCGTGGCCATGGACTGATCTTATATTCACAGTTATCTTGACTCCTCGTGTCTGTCTAAAGAGCTTTCGGATTCGCTACAATCCTGTCACCCGGTTTATTAGTTCTTCTCAGAAATACTTCAAACGCCATTACTGAGGCTACTCCTTCATGCACTATGGAGTGGCTACTTTCCTCGGACGTTGAACGGCATAATGTGGCACAAATGGATACTGGTGTTGATTCAAGGAGTCAAGACTTATCTTAGGCCAGGTCTGCAATGATTTTCTCCAATGTTCAATCAACAGGACAAGAATCTTTGCCCGGTGATTGGCACCCGCATACATACACAACGGACGAGGTCACGAGTTTGGTTATGAAAATGATCGCGGGTATAGATGAGATTGGAATGATCTCAAAGGAAGATCTCGACAGCATTTCAATTTCAGGCTCCGTATAACTATATGAAGTATCCAAGAACCCCTCCTTAATCCTTCATTGGTTAAAGCTAACTAGAGGTGATTTCTAGGGGTCAAAGAGAAGCCTGTCTGACGGGGCTAATCACCGGATCAGGTCTCCGTGTCGCATCATTATTCGATCAGCGCATACGACCCATAATTCCCCTATCTAGCCATCCTATAATTTACCTTATTGGAATCTACATAAAGACTGGTTGGTGCAGCAGAAAACCCACCGAGAATTTCTCCGCATGAGTGATCGCTGGCTGCCCCACGGTGAACGCCAATGCTTTATTAGACTGAGCGACCCCCTCTCGACAACAAAGTGATTGTAAAAGAACCAGGAGTCCTCGACATCCACGGAATCAAGACCGTTGTATGCTGCGAGATGGTCAAACCCAGCAGCAAGATTCACCGTGCTTGGTGGAAGGAGTGCTCCGTCTATCAGATCTACCCAGCTTCCTTCAAAGATTCCAATGATGACGGCATTGGGGATATTCCCGGCATCATTTCCAAGCTCGACTATATCAAGAACATCGGGGTAGATATTGTCTGGCTGTGTCCGTCCTACAAATCCCCTCAGGTGGATATGGGCTATGATATTTCCGATTACTATAGCATCGCAGACGAGTACGGTACGGTCGCGGATGTGGAGAAGCTAATAGAGGGATGTCACCAGCGAGGAATGAAGCTTCTGATGGACTTGGTGGTTAACCATACGAGTGACCAGCATGAATGGTTCAGGAAATCCCGCAGTTCAAAGGATAACCCGTATCGCAACTGGTACATATGGAGGCCGCCTAAGTACGATGAGCAGGGAAACCGTCATCCGCCAAATAACTGGATCTCTCATTTTCAAGGTATGGTCGATTGGCCGAAGAAGCCCAGTCATACACTAACAGAAGTAGGAAGCGCTTGGCAGTACGATGAGCTGACGGATGAATACTACCTTCATCTGTATGCCAAGGAACAGCCTGATCTCAACTGGGAGCACCCACCTGTGCGCGAGGCAGTCCACGACATTATGCGGTTTTGGCTGAACAAAGGGGCGGATGGATTCCGGATGGACGTGATCAACTTCATCAGCAAAGAACAGAGCTTCCCTGACGCCGATGTCAAAGATCCCCGGAGTATCTGGCAATGGGCCGACAAATTCTACGCCAACGGGCCTCGTCTACATGAGTACCTACAGGGTCTGGGCGAAATTCTCAAAAAATACGACGCTTTCAGTGTTGGTGAGATGCCTTTCGTCAAAGACACGGAGGAGGTTCTGAAGGCGGTTCGTTTCGACCGCAACGAGATCAACATGATCTTCAACTTTGAGCACGTGGATATTGACCACGGAGAATTCGACAAGTTCGTGCCCGGAAGCTGGAAGCTTACTGATTTGAAGGCCTTCTTTGAGAGATGGGAGAAATTCATGTATGAAAACGATGGGTGGAATGCTCTGTATTGGGAAAACCATGATCAGCCGCGGTCGATTGATCGATACACCAATGCAAAGGAGGAGCACCGCCTGGTAGCCTCCAAGCTCCTGGCTACCATCCTAACGCTACAGGCCGGCACGCCGTTCATCTACCAAGGCCAGGAACTAGGCATGAGAAACGTGCCGGTGGAATGGGGAATCGAGGAGTACAAGGACATTGACTGCCTCAACCATTGGCATGAGTATGTACTCACCTCACTCGTCCATGAGCGTGACTGACGCTCGCAGATTGCTTAAAAAAAAGCATTTCGACACTAAAGCGCAGCAGATCGCCAAACAGGAGTATCAGAAAAAATCACGAGACAACGCGCGCACGCCAGTTCAATGGAGCTCAGCACCGAATGGAGGCTTCACCGGACCCAACGTGAAGCCCTGGATGTCGGTCAATCCGGACTATGTGCGCATCAACGCCGAAGCAGAGGTCAACGATCCGAACTCAACGTACCACTTCTGGGCGTCTGTGCTGGGCCTTCGCAAGAAATACCTGGATATTTTCGTCTACGGTAACTTCGAGATGGTGGACCGGGATAGCCAGGAGGTCTTCGCGTATACTCGACAATTCGAGAACCAGAAGGCGTTGGTTGTAGGCAACTTCACGGACAAGGCGCTGGAGTGGGATCTTGCTGCCAATGGCATCAAGTGCGTGAAGGAGGTGCTGCTCAACACTTATGAAGAGGCAAAGAAAGCGTCACCGAGATTTGCTGGAGAGAAGTGGTCTCTTCAACCGTACGAAGCAGTTGTGGTACTTGTGCAGGAGTCGTAACCGGACTTGTGGTGCGGCTTGATATCTAGCAGGTGATCGTCGCTAAACCATTCAATAGACCAGAGTAGAATTAGACTCACGATATGAAGAGTACATGCAGACCACGCTTCAATGCTCGAATGTTGCCAGTCCGAGATAGGAGCCATAGCTGATGCTTCCCCGCACTGATAAGCGATAAGCACATCCAGCTTCCTTGCTCTACGGAGTGACGAATTTCAACTTCTACCTTCACCTTCATCCCAATTACCATACAGTCCATACCAACCTCACAAACAACCACCAAGCGCAAACGACATACAAAACCATGACGACCCAACCGCCTCAAGACCAAACACCACCGACCCCCTCACATCCCCCACACCTCGACCCAACCACCTACCCACGAACCCTCACCTCCCCAACCCACAACATCCATCTTGAACTCACCTACGAGGCGCTGAATCCCACCCTCGCAC